TTTCACGCCTAAGGCGGAACTAGAACTCACTGTCTCCTGGTTATTGGCCCTAAGTCACCCAGCCGGCTTTCACGCCTAAGGCGGAACTAGAACTCACTGTCTCCTAGTTATTGGCCCTAAGTCACCCAGCCGGCTTTCACGCCTAAGGAGGAACTAGAACTCACCCTCTCCTGGGTTCTAAGCCTCTTCTGACCCAAACCTGGTTCCAAGAGAGCAAACACGAGACAAAGGTAACAGCACAACCTTTTAATGTTTCTTTTAAAATCCCGTTCCTTCACAGATAAAAGGCTGCTTCCAACTAATTATCTCCGACAAGAAAGAGCCTTGCAAAGTTTTTGCAAGGCTGCCAAGAACAGACAAATCTCCTAAACAATAAATCAAAGAGTCTCCAAACACCAACTCAGATATTCTAACCCCCACCAGGCTCAAGTATCAAACTTCTTTGCCTTCTGCAAAGAACTGCGGTTTCTCAGCTGGCTTTTATCTCTTAAGGGAGCCTTACTCCCGAGTCGCCTGTGCTGCTGCAGCTGCACTGGGCACAAGCTCCTCTTCCTCACTGCTGCCAGCCTCCACCATCTCCGAAGGCAGCCCCTCCACTCCCCGATGGTCCTGGCCCCATCCCTGCATCCCACGCAGGCCCCTCACCTGAGGCCTCGCTCTCCGAGACCTCAGCCATCCGCACCTGCTGCCGGTGAATTCACAACCAAGCCAGCACCTTCACCAGGAGCCCAAACTGACTCTCTTGGCCCCCCCAAATTAGCAGCCCAGTTACCTGCAACGAATATTCTGCCAGGTGAACCCCTCGAATGAGATTGAGCGCACCGCACATGATGTTGAGAATGAGGGAGAGGATCCCCAAAGGAGACACGGGTTGCATCCGGCAAGCAGGACCTATAGGGGAATTTTTTTTAAAAAAAGGACATCCAACAAAGGTGAAATTTGGTCCGTCCTGCTAGGAAACTTACAACTCCTCTTCCTTAGGCCCCCAGTCATGCTCCAATGTGCTAATAAAGGGGAATATTGTTAGCTCAGGGTTGACAGGAAGGGATTTCTGAGCTGGCTTGTTTTCTTACAGATGTTTCATTACAGTGTTGGTTGGGGCGGTTTTAGAGGGTTTTTTTTGGTTTGAGGCTGTTTGCTGTTGGGTTTTTGGCAGTTTCTCGACTGCGGTATTGTTTACTTGATTATTGGACCGATGTTTAACCTTGGAGTTAATCGCCCCAAATGTGCTTTTTTTTTCAAGCAACTGGACTTTCTGGTTTTTCTTTGAAGATGTTTCACTTCTCACCCAAGAAGGTTCTTCAGCTCTGACTGGATGGTGGGGAATGGAAGGGTTTATATTCCTTGCAGACAAAGCTGGTCATTTGCATCCTTTTAGAGGGTTGTTGAGGCCACTTGGAGGTTTATCAGTGTCCTCAGGGTCACCTGAGTGACAGAGAAGACCGCTGGTTTGAAAGAGGGGGCGAAAAGGCCACCTATGTCAAAATTAAACAGCCCTCTCTCGACAGAGATGGAGGGATACAAGATCATCTATCTTCATTCTCTACAACACAAGCCCTTCCAAGAAAGCTCCACACCCATTTGCACCACTTAGGTATACCTTGAGGACACATATAAACCTTATTTCCCTTCATCCAGTGAGTTAGGACAGAGCTAGTCTGAGCTTTATTCCAATGTTGTTAAATTAGATTAAATTAGGGATTGAGGCAGAGTTTTTGTCTCTTAAGTTTTATTTTATTTAAGTTTTAGTTTTATTTTATAACTTATTTTAAGTTTTATTGTCATTTTTTCCCCTTTGGGCACTCTGGCACACATTAAAAATGAAATCCGTCGCCTGTTGTCAAAAGTGTAAAAATACATGACACGCCTATAAACATGCTATAAACATAACCAGGTGTATATGTACGTCCTAACACATAAATACATATAAACGTTAATCGCTCTCCATCTCGAACGCATAGCGGAAAGAGGAAGTTTGGGAGTTCACAAGGTTGATGCTGCAAAACTGTAGCAAGGAAAACAGGTCGCGAGGACGATGTGTAGCGTCTCAGGCAATCCCGCTCGAGCATCGCTTCTGTGCCACGCCCTGGATAGAAGGGAGTGAACTGCCAGTGATCTTTTCTGCCATCTTCACCACTTTCTGGCCCGCCGTCTTATCCAAAGAAGGAAAGCTTCCAAACCAGACTGTCCTGCAATCTTTTTTTTCTATTCTATAAAGTGTGTGTGTGTGTCTGTGTCTGTGTGTGTGTCTGTGTGTGTGTGTGTGTGTGTGTGTGTGTGTTCCAGCATAACCCTGGAATGCCTTGAGCAATTACAACCAAACTTGGTATATATAGATGACTTACCCTCTGGAAACAAATACTGTGGGGGTAAGACACCCCTAGCACCCCTCAGGGTATGTGTGTGTGTGTGTGTGTTTGTGTGTCTGAAAATGGCTTCTACTGTACAGCACAGTGGACTTGCCATGGTAATGGCTTCACAGTAGTCCACAAGGGGGCTCCCTCTTGTGGAGGAATAGAAGAATTGCAACGTTGCGCGAGAGACAGTACAACAGCGTGAGTCCCGACTACAGGGTTTTCCTGTCTAATAAAGGATTGGGATAAATACCTGGGCGACGCCAAGTTATCGGCTAGTATGATATAATTTCTTTCCGCATAACTTTCTTCAAGCCACCCATCTCTGTTGCCTTCGACCTGCGATGGGATGAACAGGAAGAACCTAACCGCAATGTATGATAACTCACCTGTCTCAAGGTGGACTTCCGCGCAGCCGTTCACCGTCCTGTTCACAAATTCCATGTCTTCCCAGCTGACGAGGGCCGGAGGTCGCAAGCGGAAGTCTTCCTGCATCTTGGCCACGTCGATTTTTGGCTGAGCGCAGTTGGTGTGATTAAACTTGCTTTGGGTCTTCTGGATGACATTGTCTGTGGCGGGGAGACAAACAAGCGCTTTCTCTAAAGACTAAGAAAATATTGGTGTGTGCTCCGCTAAAGACCCACCGACAGAGTTTGGTAGCTTATAGGGTTGAACTGCATCTGGAGATTACAGGTAGTCCTTGACTTACGGCCACAACGGAGGCCAAAGTTTCTGTTGCTAAGTGAGGCGTTTGTTTGGCAAGTTTTTCGACCATCGTTGCCATGGTTGCTAAGAGAATCACTGCAGTTGTTAAGTTAGTAACGTGGTTGTTAAATGAATCTAGCTTCCGAACTGACTTTGCTTGTCAGAAGGTCGCCAAAGGGGATCCTGTGACCCCAGGACGCTGAAACGGTCACAAATACGAATCAGCTGCCAAGTGTCTGAATCACATGACCACGGGAATGCCACAAGGGTCATAAGTGTGAAAAAATAAGTCGATTTTTTTCAGTGCTGTTGTAGCTTCGAACGATCACTAAACAAACTGCTGTAAGTTGAGAACTACCTATATCTTACTTCCAGAAAACCTGAAAGATCCGGTTAGGGACAGATCCTCACGGAGAAGATCTAAGGGATTATTACGGCTCGACCACCACTTGACGGCTTAGGACCAAAATTGGAAATCAGAAATTTCGTTGCCAAGCCAGGAGGTGGTTCAGTTGCACCCAATTCTTTGACCCTTTTGACCAAAGCAAATCACTGCAGCTGTTAAGTGGGTCACGTGGTTGTTAAGTGAATCCAGCCTCCCCTACTGACTTTGCTTCTGAGAAGCTGGCTGAGAAGGTGGCAAATGGCAGTTGCGTAATCCCAGCGTAATCCCTGCCACCATCGTAACTAGCCGCTGATTTGCCAGGTGGCCTGGATTTTGAGTGACCGTCGGAATATTGCAACAGTTGTTTTAAGTCAACTATTTTTCTGTGGCGTTGTAACTAAAGGAAAGATAGTTTAGGCCAGGGATGGCCAGTAGCAACATTGCTACTGATGGTTCTTCACGCAGCAGTGACTAATTAGAACAAAACATTTGTAGCTCAGAGTTGAACCCTGGGCTCCCAGGTGCTCTCTGAGCTGGGCCGTTTTTCCTGCAGATGTTTCATGACCCAACTAGGTGACATCATCAGAAGGGAGTGGGATTTGCAGAATGGAAGGGGGAGGAGCAGGAGGAAGGGGTGGCGGAGGAGGAAAGGATTGTGGGGTCCTCGGCGCTCTCTGAGCTTGGTAGTTTTCTTGCAGAAGTTTCACGACCCAACTAGGTGACATCATCAGTGCTAGAAGAGAGGGGAGGTTCCAGACAGGGGGAGGAGAGGGAGGGGGTGGGAAAGGATTGCGGGATCCTCAGCGCTCTCTGAGCTGGGTGGTTTCCTTGGGGACGTTTCATGACCCAACTAGATAACATCACCAGTGTGAGGCAGCGTGCAGTTTTCTCCCTGTTTCTATACCGTAAGTTTCCCCGCCAGCGTTGGCGGGGGGGGTTGTGTTTTCTTCCTTGGTAGTTCCTTGATGACGGTATTGTTTTGCGCACGATTTTTTGGTCCGGTGTTAATCCATGCTTATCTGTGTTTCTGTGGGGTCCTTGGTGCTGAATTTGGTTGCCTTCCTGGAGACATTTCATGAGCCTCATCAGTGCTAGAAGGAAGTGTGGTTTACAATGAGAAAGAAAAAGAGGGAAGGAAAGAGGAGGAGGAGGAGGAGGGGGAAGACGACTGTATGGTCTTTGGTGCTCTCTGAGCCAGGTTACCTTCTTAGACATTTCACCACCCAACTAGCTAATATCATCAGGGCCAGAAGTGATTCTATGAAATGTCCGAAAGAAAATAATCAAGCTCAGAGAACACCAAGCCCCTCACAGGTATGACGTGATCAATTACCACCCCTCAAAAAAAAAAACAGAAAGACACAAAGCCAAACCAACAACGTACCAAATTCAAGGAAAGTGTATGGCCTAGAAGCCAGGCTGACGCTGGTGGCATGGTAGGAGGTGGCGAATTTGGAGTGGAGCTCCTCCAGGAAACAGAAGGCCATCACGGCTGGGTAACTGCTGAGGGCGATGCAGGTGCAGGCGACGCCTCCAGAGGTGTGAAAGCTGAGAAAGAAAAGGATCGAAGGTTAACCCCGGAGAGTAACAAGGAGGGGGAAACCACAAGTGAGGGACGGATTTCGCGTGCAAATAAAGGAAGGCGTTTCGTAGCAGGGGGAGATCCGACGGAAAATGCTCACCTGTCTACAGGTAGGGGGGCGGATACAGAAAAGAGAAATCTGGGGGCTCAGTTGTGGCTGTTGAGTCGAGGACTCCCTGTATAAGATGAATTTCTATTGCCCGATGCTAGATGGTGCTACGGTTTTACCGTTATATCTGCATAATGTGTTCCTGTTGCTTGATAAATTGGTGGCTTTCTGAACTATAGCGTAAGACTTATACACCGCTTCACGGGGATTTTACAGCCCTCTCTAAGCGGTTTACAGAGCCCAGCCTATTGCCCCCAACAATCGGGGTCAACCTTGACTGCTCAGAATCGAACTGCTGGCAGCGGGCGGTGAGTTACCCTTGCAGTGCTGCATTTAACCACAATGTCACTGTGGCACTGGATTATATGAGCTGCGGTGGTGCAGTGGTTAGAATGCAGGACTGCAGGCCACTTCTGCTGACTGCTGGCTGCCAGCAGTTCGAATCCCACCAGGCTCCAGGTTGACTCAGCCTTCCGTCCTTCAGAGGTGGGTAAAAGGAGGACCCAGATTGTTGGGGGCAAGAGGCCGACTCTGAAAACCGCTGAGAGAGGGCTGGAAAGCACTATAAAGCGATATATAAGTCTATGTACTATTGCTATTTTTTCCTTCCTTCCTTCCTTCCTTCCTTCCTTCCTTCCTTCCTTCCTTCCTTCCCTCCCTCCCTCCCTCCCTCCCATCCATCCCAGCTCAAGGTCGACTCAGCCTTCCGTCCTTCAGAGGTGGGTAAAATGAGGACCCAGATTGTTGGGGGCAGGAGGCTGACTCTGAAAACCGCTTAGAGGGCTGTAAAAGCACTGTGAAGCAGTATATAAGTCTAAGTGCTATTGCTATCTGTATAGGTAGTCCTTGACTTACAACAGTTCATTTAGTAACCATTCAAAGTCACAACCGCACTGAAAAAAATTGACTTACGGCCATTTTTCACACCAATGCAGCATCTGCAGGGTCACGAGATCCAAATTCGGACGCTTGGCAACCGATTCCTGTTTATGACGGTCGCAGTGTCCCAGGGTCACGTGATCCGTTTTGCAACGTCCTGACAGACAAAGTCAACGGCGGAAGCCGGATTCGCTTAAGCAAACGTGCCACTCATTTAACAACTGCAGTGATTTGCTTAACAACTGTGGCAAGAAAAAGGTCACAAAATGGGGGCAAAGCTCACTTAGTAAACGTTTCACTTAGCCACATTAATTTTTGGGCCCCGTTGTGGCCGTAAGTCGAGGACTACCTGTATTTATCCACTGTTTCATAAGCTAGTCAGGATGACTGACTGAAGTCTCACACACACACACACACACACACACATATACAGAGAGAGAGAGATCAATGAATGAAGAAATAATATATTTGATTATCAACCTATTAACAGCAGCTAGAATTGTATTTGCACAAAATTGAAAAAATTCCGATAGCAGAGGAGGTGATTAAGAAAATAATGGAACGTGCAGGAATGAGTAGATTAACATTAGCAATTAGACAGCAAGAAGAAAAAGAGTATTATAAGATTTGGGATTTATTCTATGAATGATTAGAAAGCAGAGTAAGAAATTAAAGAATAATAACAATGATATTTTATAACTGATTATTTTTGAATAAATTACAACATGGATATAATCTAGTATAGATGGGATAGTTTGAAACCGCAATTAAAAAAGAAAATATAATGACGATGTAATAATGACGTAATATGATACATAACGTTGACTAGAATATAATCTGAATGTAAACTCAATGAGAAATGTATAAAAATAGTAATATGTGCACAAGATATACGTACCCAGATGACACACTGCATAACTAACTGAAAGATGGTTTTTATTTGTTGGGTGTTTTAAAAATAAAAATTCAAAAAAAAAAAAGAACAGTGAACGAATGAATGAAAACAGGTCTAGCCAGTTTCTGGGTGTCGAAGGACAGAGCACGACTTACTGTATACTGAGGTCACGTTCTCTGGCCGTGCCCCGTTCCGGATACTGGGTCAGGACGGAGGACAGGATCTTGAGTCTCTTCCTGCATTCCAAAAACTGGGGATCGAGGTGGAAATCGCTGGACGCCGAGAGAGGAAGCCCGTCCCTTATCCGCACCACGCAGGCGAAGAGGATCATGGACATGCTCCAATGGGAGAACTCATGGGACCTCCTGGAAAAAAGGAATTCGGGACAGTCCAGGTCCACACTGCTCTTCGGCCCGTTTGATACGGATAAAAAAAAAAAATACAGGTTACAACGATTCTTTCAGTGAGACTATCTGGAGTTACTGTCAACTAAAAAAGTACTGCTTTGGTCTTTTTAGTTGCCAGCAGAAAGGGAGTGGGGAAAGCAGCGCATTCCTTAAATGCTTCAGATAATTACTAGGCAGCCAAAGCTGTTGGCACACAAGATTATTACTGGAGAGCACGATTGATGACTCTTGGCTATGGATGTGTCCCATTGGAGAATATACATCCGGGGGTGGGGAAAGACGAGGGTCAAGGGGGAAATGAATGATGCCTCTTAGTGTCGGCTGCACCCAGCTAACGCCAACATGGTCACTTTTTTTTAAATAAATTTTATTGATTTTACAATTAAAACAAACCAACAACACATACACAAATGAAAGAAAAGGAAAGGAAAGAAAAGGAGAAGAAAATAGAAAGAAAAAATAGAAAACAATTAAAAACATTCTCCTCTTCAACAGTTTGTAAGATTTTTTTTTTAACCCTTAATTTACGCCATATGCACACACCTAATCCTTACATATAACTATATATCACTACTATGGATTTATTCTATCCTCTTTTACCTTATAGTGTAAAATCTATCTTTGGTCAATCCATTTGTACCAGCAGTTCCAGTTATTGTAGTATATTGAGGTGTCTTTATTTTTTAGTGCCAAAGTTAATTTGTCCATTTCTGCACAACTTGAAATTTTTTGAATGATCATCTCCTCTGATGGAACCTGAGGCTGCTTCCAACACTGGGCAAAGGCTAATCTGGCCGCTGTCAAAATGTGTATTATTATGTATTTCGCTTTTTTTGATATTTGTTTGTCAAAGATCCCTAACAAAAAGGACTCTGGTTTGTATTCGGTCTGCTCTCTTGTCATTTCTTCCAGCCAAATTCTAATTTTATGCCAATATTTTTGAGCTTCTGTACAGGATCACCACATATGGAAAAAAGTTCCCTCTTTTTTTTTTGCATTTCCAGCAATTCGGACTCATATTGGGGTGGATCTTCGCTAATCTCGAAGGTGGAAGGTGCCATCTATAAAACATTTTATAGGCATTTTATTTAAATGCTACCGACTTTGTAATCTTATTGTTTCTACCCCAGACCTTTTCTCATTCTGTTAAGGTGATGCTACGTTCTACATTCCTACTCCAGGCAATCATGTTCCCTTTTACAATTTCTTCTTCTAATTCGACTTCTAATAAATAATTATAAAATTTTGTTATATGTTTTTTGCCTGATCCTAATAAAATTTTATCTAATTGCTGGAGTTTATTGTTGAGTCCGAATTCTTTCTTGTCCTGTTTATATCTACTTTGAATCTGAAGGTATGCCCACTGATCAATTTTTTGTCCTTGAAGTTCTTGCCGCGATTTCAAATTTCCTTGTGTATCCAATAGGTCCTTATATTTAATCATTTTAGTGATATCCAGATAATTTGGGTGGATTATCACCTCTATTGTTGAAATCAAGATTGGTACTTTTAATAGTGTTTTTTCCGTATTTTCTTCCAATTAGTTAATAATGAGTCTCTGATTAGATGTCTGTGGAAATATTTCTGACTAGTCTTCCCTACATCCCATAAAAAAGCGTGCCACCCCCTCTGCGAATCGTGGCCTTCTAAAAATAATATTCTCTTGTTAGTTAAATTCACCCATTCCTTCAACCATACTAAAGAGGCAGCGATATAATACAACTCCCAATTTGGAAATGCCAGTCCTCCCCTGCTCTTCATATCCTGCATTGCCTTTAAATTTATTCTAGGTTTTTTCCCTTGCCAAATAAATTTAACAGTTATTTTGTTGAGTTCTTAAAAAAAAGAAAATTGTGTACTTTAATTGGGATCGTCTGAAATAGATATAGAAATTTTGGAAGAATATTCATTTTAATGGCAGCGATCCTGCCTAATAATGAAAGTTGCAGCTTACCCCATGTTTCTAAATCCTTCTTTACCTGTTGCATCAATTTATAATTATTTTCCTTGAGTGTCTTACAATGTGCTGTCAACCATATTCCTAAGTATTTAGCTTTCTTTATCACTTGTATTTCCATAACTTCTTCTAACTCTATTTTCTGTTTTGCTGTTAAATTTTTAGTCATTTAGTTTTCTTCTTATTAATTTTGAGTCCTGCTACTGCTCCAAATTGTTCTAATTCATTCATCAATTTTTGTCCTCTTTCTATTGGTTCCTCGATGAAAAAAATCATATCGTCCGCAAACGCTTATATTCTTCTTTCTTAACCTTTAATCCTTTTATATTTGGGTTCTGTCTAATTCGCATTAATGTTTCTAATGATAATATGAAGAGCAGGGGTGAGAGTGGGCAGACCTGTCTGACTCCTTTTTCTATTTTTATTGGGCAGGTATATTCCCCATTTATTATAATATTAGATTGTTGTGTATCATAAATAGTTGTTATAATATTTTCAAATTTGATGCCTAAATTCATATTATAAATTTTTTGGATTAAAAATTGCCAATTTAAATTGTCGAAGGCCTTCTCTGCATCTAAAAACATAAGTGCAATTTGTTTTTCGGGGTGAGCTTCATAAAATTCTAAGACATCTAGTACTATTCTTAAATTGTTCCTAATTTGTCTGGTCGGGAGAAATCCATTTTGGTCTTCATGTATATGCGCGTTTAGCATTCTTTTTAGTCTGCTTGCTATAATAGAAGTAAGTATTTTGTAGTCAGTATTTAACAGTGAAATCGGCCTATAATTGTTTATATATCGGGGATCCGATTCCTCCTTCGGGACCAGCAAAATCAATGCCCCCCTCCATGAGTCTGGCATCCTGGCAGCCAATAAAACATCATTAAAAACTTCCACCATAAAAGGTCCAATTTGTTCTGCAATTGCCTTGTACAGCTCCCCTGGAATCCCATCTGGGCCCGGGGTTTTGTTGTTTTTCTGGTTCTCTATTGCTGATTTCAATTCCAACCAAGTGATGTCTTTGTTTAATAGTTCTACCATTTCTTCCCCAATTGCTTTATCCTTCACTTCATCTAAATAGTTTCTTATTCTATCCTCATTAACATCTTCCTTTTTATATAAATCTTCAAAATACTTATGAGCAATTTCTTTTTTCTGTTCTATCTCCTGCTGTATATCCCCCTTTCCATCTATTAGCTGATATATCAATCTCTTTTCTTTCCTTTTTTTAGTTTATAAGATAGCCATCTTATTAGCATGCTCAAAATAAGTTTGTCTAGTCAAATTCAAATTTATAATCATTTTCTCTTGTTCAATTAAATTCAATTTATGTTTAGCTATCATTATCTGATTTTGCAATTTTGAATCCTTTGGGGTACTCTGTAACTGAGTTTCTATTGCCTTAATTTTTTGTTGTAATTTATTTTGCTGGGCATATTTTTCCTTATTCCTCTTGGCATTATAAGAGATTGTTATACCTCTTATTACTGCCTTCATTGTATCCCAAATGTTTTGTTTCATGGTTACTCCATTATCATTTTCCTTTAAGAAATAATTTAATTCCTCCTTGAGTTTGTTAGTATATTCTTTTTCTCTTATTAATTGTATTTAACGTACATCTTTTCTTGGTTTTTCCCTACCCTTCCATATTATCTGAATTGGATTATGATCTGCCCATTAGGTAAAATTTCAGTCTCTTTTATCTCATTTGCTATTTCCCCATTCATCCATGCCATGTCAATTCGTGTCCATATTTGATGGGGATTTGAGTAGAATGTGAATTGTTTTTTCTTGGGGTGTAATCTTCTCCATATATCAATCAAATTTAACTCCATCATTTCCCTACAAATCTTGAGAACCTCTCTCTTCCCCCCCCCCCCCTTTATTCTTCCCCCCCATTACTGTGGTCTTTTTGATAATCAGCAATAGAATTGAAGTCTCCTATGATACAAATATTTCTTTTTTTCCAATCCTACTATTTTTCCATAAAGATGCTTAAAAAACTCTTTTTGATCTCCGTTCGGGGCCTAGATTACCACTAAGAGAATTGGGATGGCATTGATCCAGATCTGCAAAACCAGAGTTCTTCCCTCAGAGTCTGACCATATTAACTCTGCTTTCAAATCCTCTTTAACATATACTGCAATCCCTTTCTTTTTTCCCGTGTCTGCTGGTGCGGTAAATAGCTTCCCTAATTTCGGATATTCTAGGTGTTTTTCATCTGTTTTCTTTATATGAGTTTCTTGTAGGCATATTATATCAGCATTTTGTTTGATTAGTTTAGCTAATATCCTTTTCCTTTTTGTCGAGTTTAAACCATTTATATTAATTGATAGTAGTTTTTTTTCTTCTTCCATTTAATTAATTTTGTTTTGCTCTTTGTCTTGTAACGACTCCGATCTCTCCTTGTGCCTGAAGGTGTGTAGTTTCTTCTGTCTCCTGATGTAAATGAGTATTTCCTTGATTTCCTAAAGTTCCATCTTTATTTTTGTAATAACCTTGATCTTCCTGGGAGTTTGTTTCCAGTTCCTCCTTACTGCTCTGGTCTTCCAGACGAATCTATTTTAATTTTCCTTTCTTTCCAAGACACTAACTTCCCTTCTGGGATTAGCCATTTAAATGCAATTCTTTTCTGATTTAAGTAAGCTGCTAAGAACTTGTAGTCTCGCCTTTGTTCTCTTACTCTTCTTGGTATTTGTTTGAGAATCAAGATTTCTTTACCTTTGTACGCGATTGTTCCATCTCTGGACATTCTATAAATGATATCCCGGACACTCCTTCTCGTAAATCGTATATGGACTTCTCTTGGGCATTTGTGGTGTCTCGCATAATTAGTGCTAACCCTATAAACTTCATCAAACTCCCTTAAGATGTCATCTTTGTCCTTTTCCAATAACCCAGCCAGTATTTCTGCCATTAGTTGTTCCAGGTCTTCTTTGGATTCCACTACATTTTTGAATCTCAAGTATGTAGCTGCCTTGTCTATCTCTAGGTAGACCAGTGAGTCCTCCACTTCTTTACTTGCATTCTTTAATTCTTCATCTAACCTTTCTAATTTCCTTTCAGTTCATTCAGTCCTTTTCTCTACCTCTTTTATTGTTGCTTCATTTTCTCCAAGGCCTGCTGTAATATTCCAACTTTGTCCTCTACTTTAGAGATGTCCGCTTTCATTTCTGCTTTTAATTTCCCCATCTCCTCTTTAACTTCATTGATATCTGCTCTCGTCTCGTTATGGTTTTTCATCATTGTTTCTTGCAGCTTCGTCATTGATTCCTGTAAAGTCAGCAAAATTGATTGGATGTTGGCATTCGAGATATTAGCTTGTTTCTCTACTGGTAATATTTCTTCTATGGATTTTTGTGCCATGGGCAAAGTTGTTGCCAATGTTAATGTTGGGTTGACCTTCCTTCCAGTTTTCAGAGCTGTAGTAGTTATGGAAGTCATTTCTTTTAAGATCTGTTTCTGTTGTTGAACTATATTAATTATATTATCCCAAATTAAAATTCAGTGATATAATCTCTGTGTTAAGATTGAGACATGGTCACTTCTAATAAATCTTTTTTCTTACTCTGAGAAAAGGGCTAGAGACTTATCATTTGAATGGGGCTAGATTTGTCGGATCCCTGACGGTTACAACAGCACTGAGAAATGGGCTTATGACCAGTTTTCACACTTAAGACCATGGCAGCACCTTTGAGGTTACGTGATTGAATTATGGAGGAGGCTTGGCAACTGACTTGTATTTGTAATGGTCGTAGTGCCCCGGGAGTAGGTGGTCATAGGAATCCCCCTTTGTGACCTCCTGACAAAACAAAGCCAATGGGGAAGCCAGATTCACTTAACAACCTTGTTGGTAACCTAACAACTGCAGCGATTCAATTAACAACAGTGGCAAAAAAAAGATCATAAAATGAAGGAAATCTCGCTTAACAACTGTCTTGCTTAGCAGCAGAAATATTGAGCTCAGCTGTCAAGGACTATGTATTGTAAAGACTTACAAAGAGAAGCCACCAATATAAATGCAGAATGACAGCATGAAACTAAGACGGAGCACTACAACTTTAAAATGGAGATAAGGAAGTGGGGGGAAATTTGTTGGATGCTAAAATGATGCATTCCTCTAAGCCAGGATCTCTGGAGACACTCACAGCTCAGAAGTTGTTGAACTGCAGTGGAAGGAGGAGGTCATATAGTGACCAGGTTTAACTCTCTGCCCAATGTAGGAATCCAAAGTACAGTTCTTGATTTACGCCGATTGGACCAGAATGTGGTCACATGACCCCGGGATACTGCAACCATTATAAATATGAGCCAGATGCCAAGCAACCACATTTTGATCCTGTGACTGCAGGGATGCAGCAATGGTCATTAAGTGTAAAACATTATTATAAGTCACCTTTTTCAGTGATGTTGTAACTTTGGTCACTAAACGAATGGACCAGTCAAGGACTACCCGTATATCTGCAGATAGGCCTATCCATAGATAAGTTGAAGCTCATACTGTGGGTGTACAACTTGTCCTCGGCTTATGATCGTAATTGAGTCCAAAATTTATTTAGCTAAGTGAGAAATTTGTTAAGTGAACTTTGCCCCATTTTACAACCTTTCATGCCATTCTTGTTAAGCGAATCACTGCTGTTAGGTTACTAACACTGTTGTTAAGTGAATCTGGATTCCCCATGGCTGTAAGCGTGAAAAATGGTCATAGGTTCCTTTTTTTCAGTGCCATTGGAACTTCGAGTAGTCACTAAATGAATTATTGTAAATAGAGGACCATCTGTGTTTTGGAAGCTAAAATCAGGTCATTCTCAGCCCAGCCCTCCTCTAAGGGTTGTTACTGTGGGAAAAATAGGAGGGAGGAATATTGGGTATGTTGGCTGCTTTGAATTGTTTGTAAAAATAACAAAGGCGGTAAATTAATTAAACGAATGAATAAGCATACACAGTTAAGTAACTATAGCGTGGCCGTAATTTTTTTTTTAAAGGAATGGAAGATCCATAAAAAAAGAGATACCAATTTGATTCCAAAACACACAGCATATCAAGCAGAATAGATGCCTTTTATCTAATCTTACAGATTAAAAAAAAATAATGAATACGCCACGTGAATATGCCCTATCACTTCAAATGTTGGCTTTCCTCCCTGACCTGCAATGACCTCCATTCGGATGGTTGCATCAAGCCCTATGATTCTGAAACAAAATTATTTTTTATTTCTTATTATTATTTACAGCAGGGGTCTCCGAACTTGTCAATTTTAAGACTCGTGGACTTCAACTTTGCTGGCTGGAGAATTCTGGGAGTTGAAGCCCACAAGCCTTAAAATTGACAAGTTTGGAGACTTCTGATTTACAGATATCTCCTCGACATGATCAAAAATTGAGCCCGAAATTTCTTTTTCTCAACAAGACAGTGGTTAAGTGGTGATCTGCCCCATTTTACTGCCATTCTCACCTTAAGCGAATCACTGCTCTTGTTTAAGTTAGTCACACCGTCATTAAGTGAATCCGGCTTTCCCCGTTAACTACTGCTGGTCAGATCGCCAAAGGGGATCATGTGACCCTGGGGACACTGCGACTGTCATAAATACAAGTCGATTTACCATTTAAACAAGCTTGGAGAGCAACCACTGCCAAAAGTCCTGAATATTGATCAGGTGAATTGTTAAGTGGGAGAAAACGGTCGTTAAGTCATCTTTTTTTCAGTGCCGCTGTAACTTCGAACGGTCACTCAATGAACTATTCTTAAACCATCTGTTTAAGAAATAAATAATTTGGGTTGGAATAAATATATAAATTATTTAGTGACTGGTGGGAAGCATTTGACAACATTTTTAAAAGCCCCACCATACAATAAACTATTTTAAAAAGAAAAAAAAAACCCACCCCCCAAGAAGCAATAATACAACCCAATTTCAGTGTTTTTTATGAATACCATTAATTAAAATATTGTTTTTATTAATAATCTTGGAACAAACGACTTTTGTGGTCGTACTTCGAGGCCTTTTCTGATTGGCAGACCAGCCCTTCTGGAGTGGGCGGGGCACTTTCTGCAAAGTTTTGCTACTAGGCGGGGGCTCTCCCTTGCACCCAGGGCTATGCCAAGCAGCGCATGCACACCTTCTGCCAGTTATGCTACTGGGTGGGGCTCCCCCTTGCACCAAGGGCCGGGCCAAGCCAAGCCGCGCACTTTCTAAGTTTTGATGTTGGGAACACACTAGCACTCAGGGCCGGGCCAAGCCAAGCCAAGCCGCGCATGCGTACTAGGCTGCAGCCAGGTACGGGTAAATCGCCCTCCCCACAACCGGGCGAGGTAAGGCTGCAACACAGACTTTCTGCGAGCCCCCTGGACTTTGGCTCCCCACCCGCTTGTGCCCCAAGGGCCGAGACTGCCCGCTCCAGTCGGTAGAAGAAGAAGAAGAAGAAGAAAAAAAAGAGAGAGGCCTTAGCCCTTCCCACGACGCCGCTCCCACCTCGCCTCTCTCCGCTTCTGGCTGCGCCACCGGATCGGAAGAGGGTGCCATCACAACAAACGCCTCCGCCCCGCCTACTTCCGGTCACGGAGAAGGCGGCGGCGGCCGGAGCGGCTTCGAGTACCATCGAGAGGCGCCGACGGCCCCTGATAAGGGGGACCACCATAGACACTTGCAGAACTGCCAAAGATTCTACTTGAGAGATAGAATAGAGAATACCTTTATTGTCAGTGCATTCCACGAATACAATGAAATTTGAAAACTACTCCAGCAACAGTGCCCCAAACACCACATCACAATCACCTAATATTAATAACATCATCATCAAACATCACAAATGCACTGTTTGATTCAAGACAATTACTGCTTTGGAAAAGAAACTTTATCAATCTATTATTCCTCATTTTAAGTGTATACCTCATTTAGGTGTATCTACTTGAGAGATGAAAATTGGGGGTATGTTTTTTTCGCCAGGAAATCCAAAACTCGCAGGCACTTTCCCCTATTGGGATGTACTTAAATCAGTGTTTCTCAACCTTGGCCGCTTCAAGAAGGGTGGACTTCAACTCCCAGAATTCCCTAGCTTGTTATCAGAATAGAAAGTAGTGATTTAGGTCTCCTCCCGCCTTCTCCTTCCTTCCTTCCTCTAAGGCAGGGGTCTCCAAACTTGGCAACTTTAAGACTTGTGGACTTCAACTCCCAGAATTCTCCAAAAGTCCATAAGTCTTAAAGTTGCCAAGTTTGGGGACCCTGCTCTAATGTTATTTATTTTTTCCTTTCTTCCTCCTTGTTCCTTTTCTTTTTCCCTTTCCTTCCTTCCTCCACTTTTTCATTCCTTCCTCTCTCTTTTTTCTCCTTCCTTGCTTCCTTCCTCCCTCTAATTTTATGTTTTTCCTTTCTACCTTTTCCTCCCTCCCTCCTTTCTTCCTCCTCTCCCCTTTCCTCCTTCCTCTAATTTTATGCTTTTCCTTCGTTCCTGTTCTTCTTTTTCTTTCCTCCCTGCTAACAGCTTGCTTCTTTTCTTTTAAACCCCAAACCATTCAGAAGTCTAAGATTACACATCTTGGAAACATTTCATGCTTCTAAATCTTTAAAATAATAGTTACATCCAATCACAAAAGTTCTTGGCTATCTAGGTTTTACTTAAATATAATATGGGGAAATCATGTTGATGCTGAGAGTTCTCAATCTCTGAAGAATCTGAAGAGCCAAGAAAGATTTTTCCTGTATATTGAGGATTGGACTGGAGGCCCAGCTTTATAGCGGTTTTATGTCAGACTACTGTTTTAACAGAATTATCCGATCGTTCATTTGATTTTCTGATTTGGCTTGAGTGGTCTATTTTTCCTAAATCATCATAAGTTTGAAATTCGTACAGGTGCTTCTGAAACATTAGTGACCGTTCCAACTTACAACAGCACTGAAAAAATGACTTATGACCTTTTTTCACATTTACACCCATTGCAATGTCCCCATGGTCAGGTGATCAAAATTCAGACACTCGGCAACTGACTCACATTTATGACCATTGCAGTGTCACAGGGTCATGTTTTGTGACCTTCTGACAAGCAACGTCAATGGGGAAGCCAGTTTCACTAATAAACATGTTACTAGCATAGCAACTGCAGTGATTCCAATAACTTTGGCAAAAAAGGTTGTACAATAGGTCAAAATTCACTGAACAATTGCCTCACTTAGCAACAGACACTTTGGGCTCAATTGGGGGCTACTTGTATTCTCTTTTTGTTCACAATGTGCCCTTTATATTAGAAAGTATTAGAGCAGATTCTTCACAACAGATTAAGAGTACTGGCATTTGATCTTGTTGAAAAGAGGCCTTTGTTTCAGGTTAGGCAAGTAAAAACTTGAAGAGCAGACCTGATAATACCATGGAAACTTAGCATTTCTAATCTCTGTCAAACAGTGCTGTTTTTCATGACTCTTGCTGGTTCTTGTGCCGGGCAGTTAAATAACGTTTATGAAAGCATTCATTGGAAATAAATTGTTTTCCTTCTTAAATAAATCAAACTTTGGACTGCTATCCAGGACCACTTCAGAAGACAGGAATCTTCTGTCTGAAGTCAAGGCAGAAATAATGAGCATTTACATAACTGAGGAATCTTTGGTGCTCTCTGAGCTGGGTGGTTTTCTTGCAGACGTTTCTTTGATCCAATTAGGCAATAGCATCAGTGCTAGAAGGGAGTGAGGTTTGCAGAGTAGAAGAGGAGGAGGAGGAGGACAACAACTTTAGGGTGCTTGGTGCTCTGTGAACTTGTTGGTTTTCATGACCCAACTAGCGAACATCATCAGTGCTAAGAGAGAGTGAAGTTTGTGGGAAGGACAATAACGGTGGGGTCCTCAGTGCTCCCTGAGCTTGGTAGTTTCTTGCAGACATTTCATGATCCAGCTAGGTAACATCATCAATCTTGTTTTCCTTGCCGTGAGGTCTACCGGTAGTACATTGGAGTTGCTTTGAATTCAACTCAATGGATGCCCAGTTTAGGGCACATCATTGTAAATTACCTTTTGCTTGGAATAAAAATTCATCCTGCTCAGTAAAACTGAAAAAAGTAACTATAAGAAGAGCAAACACTATTCAGTAGCGTTTTCCTCTTATTATCTGTGTGGCTGTTTTCTTGCAGTTTCATGAGCCAACTAAAGAACATCAATGTTAGAAGGAAAATAGGGTTCAAACGGTCATGAAAAGAATGATTCTAAGTTGAAGACTACCTGTACAAGTGACAGTGCAATTTATTCTGAATATAAGAAGCAGGATAAACATTGCCAAATGTAACTGGCTCAGAAAAGGTCACAGTTGGAGCATTAACTAGGCTATACAGAAGTTCTCGACTTACACAATTGAGCCCTAAATTTCCTAAGCAAGACAGCTGTTAAGCGACATTTTACCTGTTTTTAAGTACATCATATGGTTGTTAAGGGGATCTGGCTTTCCCCATTGACTTTGCTTGTCAGAAGGCCACAAAAGCTGATCACAAGACCCTGGGGACACTACAACCATCATAAATATTAATCAAGCATTTGAAATTTGAAAAGGACCATGGGGATGTTGCAATGGCCAAAAGTCTAAGAAAAATGGTCACAAGTCCCTTTTTTCAGTGCTTTCGTAACTTCGAACAGTCACTTAATGAATAGTTATAAGTCGAGGAGTACCTGTAGTTGTACAACTGTAAACCCCTGTTAAATCCATCTAATGTCTTCCAGGACAAAAGCGGACAGCTTCATAGAAGTCTGATGAAAGATTAAGGGGTGACATGAAAGCAGTATTCCAGTATTTGAGGGGCCGCCACAAAGAAGAGGGAGTCCAGCTATTCTCCAAAGCACCTGAAGGCAGGAGAAGAAGCAATGGATGGAAACTAATCAAGGAGAGAAGGAGAAATTTGGTGACAGGGAGAACAGTTAATCTGTGGAACGACTTGTCTCCAGAAGTTGTGAATGCTCCAACACTGGAGGTTTTTAAGAAGAGACTGGATAGTCTCTTATCCACTGGATAGTCTTTCTCATTTGAAATGGCATAGGGTTTCCTGTATGAGCGGGGAGTTGGACTAGAAGACCTCCAAGGTCCCTTCCAATTCTGTTATTCTGTTAATGCATTAAAAATGAATTTTAAAAAACTGCATGCACATATCTCCGCAGGGGAAAGCATTATGATGACTGGATTTCAGCCAACGTAAATCTCTACCATAAATACAGTGATCATACATCCTTTATCATAAAGGACAATTTGTTATTTTAGAAAGGGGACCTTTCAATTCATGGATTGATTGTTTTGGGTTTGCTTTTGAATCTTCCTTTGTCAAGCAAAGTTATCAACATAAACAATGAATGTCTTGTTATCCTTGTTATTCTCTTTCAGCTTTGCCCTTTATTTCACCCCCAACCCAAATATAGTCACCATACAGGTAGTCCTCGACTTACAACAGTTCTTTTAGTGACCATTTGAAGTTACAGTGGCACTGAAAAAGGTTACTTATGTTGTAGCATCACATGATCAAAATTCAGACACTGGGCAACTGACTCATATTTATGACCATTGCAGTATTCTGTGCTCATATGATCCCTTCTGACAACCAAAGTCAATGGGGAAGCCAGATTCACTTTACAACTGTGTTACTTACATAATGATGGCCAGTGATTCAATTAACAACGGTGGCAAGGAAGGTGGCAAAATGGGGCAAGACTGACTTAACTATCTTGCCCAGCAACAGAAATTTTCGGGTCAGTTGTGGTTATAAATTGAGGACCACCTGTACAGATAATCCTCAACTTACAAACTACAAAAGTAGACCAGAATTCTATGCATTGTTTTGCTAGAGTCGTTAAGCCAATCATTGCTGTTATTAAGTGAATCATAGGGTTGTTAAGTGAATCAAGATTCTCCCATTGATTTTGCTTGTTGGAAGGTACCTGTGAAGATCACAAATGGGAATCACATGATCCCAAGGATGCTGCAACTGTCGTAAATACATGCCAGTTGATAAGCATTTGTATTTTTATCATGTAACCATGGGGATGCTGCAACAGTAATAACTGAGAGGGCCTGTCATAAATCACTATTTTCATAGCTGTTTTAACTTTGAACAGTCACTAAATGAACTGTTGTAAGTCGAGGATTACCTTTGATCATAAGTGAGCTTCAGTTGTGTCCCTATTTTTTTCATGTCTTTCTGAGATACGAAACAGTCACTGGATGAAAAGGAAAGCTAATTGTTTTTCTTTTCTTTTCTTTTGTTTCCAAGCACTTTCTGGTGAGGTTTGCTCTTTTCTGATTCCTTGAAGTTTGTCACTGTCATAATACAAAATTTCCCAATCCAAATATGTTTCCAGCTAAGCTCCTAAACAACAGCATCAAGTATTTCTTGATACCTGATTTAAATACTTAAATATTCCATTCCAAAGACAAATATTATGTTTTGACATTGACATAAATTTCTTAACCTATTGAGATCTGAATATGAAGCTTTTATGGTTTGGCCTTCACGGCTCTCCTGATATGAAATACAGGCAGTCATCAACTTACAACCCATTCATTTAGCAACCAATCAAAGTTATAACAGCA